CAGCTGAGGGCGACGCCCGGGGAGCCAATGGACAACTTTCTGTGCCCCTTCTACTTGGCCACTCTCTCTCAAAGCACCTGCATGGCTTCAATGGGAGCACACCCTCTCAATTTTCCATTTCATGCATCAGCCGTTTTGCACACGCATCTTTGTCCTCCTGGCCATTAATTCCTGGACTCCATCAAGCCTCCATCCTACAACCTTGCTCTCCTCACTGGCTCCAAAGGCTTCAGTCACCACCTAATGGCCAATGACTTTCCAGGCTGTGCGTACCGATTGATCCTACCACACAGAAACTCCTGGAGGCTTTGGAGCCACCTTGAACTCAATGGGTCCAAAACGGAACTTAGGAGAGGGTGTGGAGAAAAGGGAATTCTCCTGCACCATTGATGGGAATGTAAATTGATGCAGCCACTATGGAGAACAGTATGGAGGTTCTCTAAAAGACTAAAAAGAGAACTACCATATGATCCACCAATCCCACTCCTGGGCATGTATCCAGAAAACATGAAAACTCTAATTCAAAAAGACACATGCACCCCAATGTTCATAGCAGCACTATTCACAATAGCCAAGACATGGAAGCAACCTACATGTCCATCGACAGACGAATGGATAAAGGAGAAGTGTTACATATATACAATGGCATACTACTCAGCCATAAAAACGAATGAAATAATGCCATTTGCAGCAACATGGATAAACCTAGAGATCATCATACTAAGTGAAGTAAGTCAGACAGAGAAAGACAACTATCATATGATATCACTTGTATGTGGAATCTAACAAAATGATACAAATGAACTTATTTACAAAACAGAAACAGACTCAGAGACATAGAAAAGAAACTTATGGTTACGAAAGGGGAAAGGGGAAGGGGGGAAGGATAAATTAGGAGTTTGGGATTAACAGATAACACACTACTATATATAAAACAGATAATCAACAAGGACCTACTGTATAGCACAGGGAACTATATTCAATATCTTGTAATAACCTATACTGGAAAAGAACATATATATATGTGTATATATATATGTGTGTATATTTGTGTGTGTGTGTGTGTGTGTGTGTGTGTGTGTGTGTGTGTGTGTGTGTGTGTGTGTGTGTTGTGTGTGTATATATATATATATATATATATACATACATAGGTATATATACACACATATATATGTAGGCTGGTGGTTGCCAAGGGGGAGGTGGGGGGGCGAGGGATGGTTTGGGAGTTTGGGATGAGCAGATGCAAACTAGTAAATATAGGATGGATAAACAAGGTCCTACTGTCTAGCACAGGGAATTATATTCAACATCCTGTGATAAACATCATGAAAAAGAATGTATATATATATATATATGTATAAAACCGAATATACAACTGAATCACTCTGCTGTACACCTGAAACTAACAACATTGTAGATCAACCGTACACCAATTAAAAAAGAAAAGAAAAGAAACACGGCCTAGGATGTGCGGTTCAACATTCATTCGACCTCACAAGCTCAAAGCCTGGAACTCACTGCGGACTCCTCTCTCTCCCAACCCCACATCTAATCCTTCACTAGGTTAGGTCCATTTCACCTCTTCACTGTCTCTCCCATCCATCCATCCTGCGGCCACCCTCTGGTCTAACCCACGTCGTCTCTCGCTTGGACAACCACAGTGGTCTTCCAACCACCTCTCTCAGGAGGGAGGTCTTCTTGCTCGTCCTCTGCTTACATTATCTTACATGCATTTGATTAAGACCATTGATCCTCCACTAGACTCTAAGCTCCCTGAGGTTAAAGGCCACGTTTGTTTTTCTACTGTATCCCTACAGCTAGTACGGCGTTGGTACACAGTCATATTTGACAAATATTCATCAGCTAAAGGAATGATTGAAAGCAGATCCCCATATTCGTGGTGCCAGACACACTTCCTGGTACATAATGGGTATTCAGTAAATATTTCTGAATTAGATTGAATTACAGCCAGTTTCTAGTAACTAGGAAAGACATGCTATTTACAAAAGATGAAGTGAACTGATTAGTTTACTACATTATGGGGGCAAGGATAGGCGGAGGTGAATGAATACAATTAGTTCCTTGTGCATTCAACTCACCACCATGGAGGATAATTATGTTGAACTGTGTCCCTGCCAAACCAACGTCAGAATCCAGTGCGCCATCTAACACCTAACGTGCTTAGAATAGAGAGACAGGGTTAACGGTTAACTTAGCAAAACCTTGACCTAGATTGGTTTCCTTTGCGCATAACTTGCCAGGAAAAGAAACTGGAAGAGAGAAAGCAATGGGCTGGGACTGCACTTGTGATGTGACCAGCAATGAGCTAGGGAATGCACATATCCTATCCCAAGCCCCCAAGGTCCCGGGAGGCAGGCACCACTGTTGGCATTTGACACCTGCCCTCCCCACCAATTAGCAAGAAACGTCCCCACTTCCCTGAAGGCTCCATGCTGCTTCCTGCTGCCATGTCCCTGTGCCGTTACTTCACCTGCTTGGAAAGCCATTCCTCCGACACCCTTTATTTCAGGGAAAACTCCTACCTGCCCTTTGACACAAGGCTCACATGCTCTTTTCACTCGTGAAGCTTTCCGCCACTTCCAACAAATCACTTTCTCCTTAGTGGAATAGCAGGACCTTCTGCAGACATCGGTCCAGGGATCAGGAGACCCCAGCCTGGAGTCAAACTGCTTAGGTCCATACACCAGCTCTGCCACAGTAACGCTGAGTCACTTAGCCTCTATGTGTGTCACGTACCCCGTCTGTAAAATGGGAGCAATGGTGCCTACCTTCCAGAAGAGCATAGAATGGTGCCTGGCACACAACACATTTTCAAAAAGCATTAGCTATTTGTGTTGGGGATGGGGAGCCATCCTCCTCCTTCTCTGGATTCTAGGAGGGATATTTCAGTGAACATCTGTGGCCTCTTGCCCCATCAAAGGTGGTGTGAGTTGTCCAAGTGGTGAGCTGGAAAAGGAACTGCACTGGTGTATTTCTGCCTGTCCTGCTCTCTCTCTGGAATCTGTCTGTCTTCAGGGAGCAAGCTTTTCCTCTGCTCCCTCTTGCCAGAAGCTTTTCAGGGCCAGGCACTGTGTGGAGAGGTCTACGGGGTCCAGAGTCGTTGCTGAACAGGTGGGTGAGCCTGGCTAATTCTTGGGCTTCAGAATCGCGGGGCCCATTGCTGCTGCCCTCCTGGGTCCCACTCCTCAACCCCACCTAGATCCCTTCTAGGGGTAAGGCTTGGCTCTCCACTGGCCTCCTCTTTTGTCTTGTCTCATAACTGGAAGGGGTTTTAATTAATGAGCAACTTGGCAAATGCCTAAAGCTATTACTGTTTTAATAATTAGCATTATAATATTGTAAATAATCTCACTCATCCACATCCTCTACAGAAATGTGTGTTCATGGGGGTCTACCACAATGTACGAGGCAAATAGGTACTTATTTAACATTTATTTGCTTACTGGACTAGATTGGATTTAAGTAACTGAGTGTATGGCCTGGGTTTTTCATTTATTTCACATCCCCCTGACCTGGTGTACTGAGACTTACATACTAGTGCCTCCATGAATAGTGCCTCCATGAATAAGGGAAGGGTTTACACTTGATTGATAAGCAGATTGAAATGACTTCAGTTAATGAGAGTCCCAGGCCAAAGACAGCTCCTAGAAATCGCACTGTCACCCAGGGCTGTTGGCCCAGAGCAAGAGGAGTTGGCTGGCGGGTGTAGGAGGGGTGATTAGTGGGTTTCTTAGGGTGACCATCTGGTCATGGTTTGCCCGGGACCTTCCTGGTCTTAGCATTAAAGGTCCTGCAACCCTGGGAACCCCACAGTCCTGGGAAAACTGGGACAGTTGGTCACCTGTAGGTTTCTAGACCATCAGCTGTCCCACCTGAAGTCACAAGCACTGACAGAGCTGGCCGGGGAACGGGAAGGTGAATTCTTGAAAAGCAGTGTTTGTTCAGACCACCAGACACTAGGGTTGCCAAGGGTGACACTGTAATAAGTACACTGTTAAAGTAGAAACAGGCAGCACATTGCCAGCCAGAAGCAAAGCCAAGGTGGTACCAGTGACCTCACCCAAAGGCTCCACAACAGTGACGCCTGCCTAGAGGGCTGTCACACAAATGATGAAACGACACACGAGCCATTAAATAACGGGTTGCCAGCCCAGCCAGGCCCAACTCGCCCTTCATCCTTGATCAGGAAACCTCAGATCTGTTAGGGAGCAGTGTGGCCGGCCCCAGGCAATGAGTTACAATTGATCAAATCCAGTGAGTTCATCAGGATCC